ATCTCGCGTCGTGCTGACATTAAAGCCGTGTTCCAGTGCGGAACCGGGCTTCCCGCTGCACGCCTACGTGTTTCAAAATATTACTTCGTACGCCGCATCGCGGACTCAGCCCGTCGAGTCGTGGCCTCACTTGCAAGGCATCTCATTTGCCGATCCCGATCCTTCAAGTCGACATCGGATTCACTTACTAATCGGTGCCGACTTGTATGGTTCCTTGTTGAAAAATGGCCTCCGGCAAGGCCCTATTGGAACGCCTACCGTTCAATTGACAGCGTTAGACTGGATTCTCTCCGGCCCCACGGGTCGCGGCCGGATTGAATCCGAGAATATTTGCGTCTGTCATAACGTGCCTACGCACGACACGAATTCGCTTCTCAGGCAATTTTGGGAGGACGAGGAGGTCTCGCGCCCCCCTCCACTTACCGACGAGGAGGAGCGTTGCGAACAACACTTCCTCACCACTCATAGTCGTTCTCCAGAAGGACGGTACATTGTTCGATTGCCCTTCCGGCACGAACTACCAATCGACATAGGCGATTCCCTGCCTATCGCCACGGTATTCTACGAGAAAATGGAAAGGAAGCTGCGTCGGCACGCCGAACTCTCCGCGCAGTATAATGACTTTTTGGCGGAATATTATTAATTTCTCGCCTTGGGACATATGAGCGCGATCGAAAGTCCCTGCGACACCGCTCTTACGCCCGTGTACATTCCGCATCATTCGGTTTTGCGCGAAACGAGTAGTACCACGAAGTTACGCGTCGTTTTTAACGCCTCGTGCAAAACGACGAACGGCACGTCGCTTAACGACCATCTGCTGGTCGGACCGAAGTTACAGCAAGATCTCCCCGCTATTCTGCTGCGCTGGCGGCAGTGGCGTTTTGTTTATGCAGCAGACATCGCCAAGATGTTCCGGCAAATCCTCGTGAATAATCTCGATACCGACTTCCAACGAATTCTCTGGCGTCCGTCCTGCGACACGCCGATCACGCATTTCCGGCTTTTGACCGTAACGTACGGGCTCGCTCCCGCTCCGTATCTCGCAATGCGCGTTTTGAAACAATTGTCGTTAGACGAAGGGTCCGACTATCCGGCGGCCGTCCCGATTCTACGCGACTCCGTCTACGTCGACGACGCGCTATTCGATGGAGATGACGTCGCGTCGCTGATGGAATGTCGCGAGCAATTGACGGGACTCCTTCAGCGAGGGGGCTTTCAATTACGGAAATGGGCGTCGAATTCGCCTGAATTGCTGCGCGATTTGGCAACGCGTCAAACCGACATGGAGGATCACCTCCTTCAGCAGGACGAGACCCTTAAG